TGGAGCTGGTGATGTTCAGACGTTTGAGTACATTTAGGACTTTTCATCCACGTTGACTTAAAAGTTACAATTTGAACCTCAAGAGGCCGAGAACTTGGAAATTAACCTCCAGAACAGTTAAATGGACCTTGAAGTGAGTTTTGTTTTTTTGAAAGAGGTGTTGTCCTTGATGTTTCCAGATGAATAATGTTCTTACAAAGCGCAGATGTTATATTTTTTAATATAAACTGTGGATGTTGTAAACTAAACAGTTGTTATTAATAAGTCTGTTAGTTGACATGTGTTTGGGACATCATGTGATTTGTGAAGGTGAAACTTGTGCGCTCTACTTGCAGGTGATATGTAAACCTTCAAACTTGAAATAATTTTAATTAACACAAATACTAAACAGGCTTTCTTTGCAAAAATTCTCTAAACTGACTTGTGTTTCTTCATCTGAAGTTGTCAAATTATGCATTTAGCACTTTAAGATGTTTTATATGAAAACTCACTCACACGGTTTCCTTTAAGAGCACAATGGAGTTTGATTTGATTTTGACACAGCAGATCTTGTTCAAATGTACACACAAGGGGTACTCAGACTTTGTTGGTGTGCACAGGTGGTTTAAATCTGACTGTTGTTGTGTCACCTTTACGGGATCTTTGATACACTTTGATGAGACGCAGCAGATTATACACTGCTCAAAAAAATAAAGGGAACACTTAAACATCACAATGTAACTCCAAGTCAATCACACTCCTGTGAAATCAAACTGTGCACTTAGGAAGCATCACTGATTGACAATCAAATGCTGTTGTGCAAATGGAATAGACAACAGGTGGAAATTATAGGCAATTAGCAAGACACCCCCAATAAAGGAGTGGTTCTGCAGGTGGTGACCACAGACCACTTTTCAGTTCCTATGCTTCCTGGCTGATGTTTTGGTCACTTTTGAATGCTGGCGGTGCTTTCACTCTAGTGGTAGCATGAGACGGAGTCTACAACCCACACAAGTGGCTCAGGTAGTGCAGCTCATCCAGGATGGCACATCAATGCGAGCTGTGGCAAGAAGGTTTGCTGTGTCTGTCAGCGTAGGGTCCAGAGCATGGAGGCGCTAACAGGAGACAGGCCAGTACATCAGGAGACGTGGAGGAGGCCGTAGGAGGGCAACAACCCAGCAGCAGGACCGCTACCTCCGCCTTTGTGCAAGGAGGAGCAGGAGGAGCACTGCCAGAGCCCTGCAAAATGACCTCCAGCAGGCCACAAATGTGCATGTGTCTGCTCAAACAGTCAGAAACAGACTCAATGAGGGTGGTATGAGGGCCCGACCTCCACAGGTGGGGGTTGTGCTTACAGCCGTTGAGGACATTTGGCATTTGCCAGAGAACACCAAGATTGGCAAATTTCACAGATGAAAGCAGGTTCACACTGAGCACATGTGACAGATGTGACAGAGTCTGGAGACGCCGTGGAGAACGTTCTGCTGCCTGCAACATCCTCCAACATGACCGGTTTGGCGGTGGGTCAGTAATGGTGTGGGGTGGCATTTCTTTGGGGGGCCGCACAGCCCTCCATGTGCTCGGCAGAGGTAGCCTGACTGCCATTAGGTACCGAGATGAGATCCTCAGACCCCTTGTGAGACCATATGCTGGTGCGGTTGGCCCTGGGTTCCTCCTTATGCAAGACAATGCTAGACCTCATGTGGCTGGAGTGTGTCAGCAGTTCCTGCAAGAGGAAGGCATTGATGCTATGGACTGGCCCGCTCATTCCCCAGACCTGAATCCAATTGAGCTCATCTGGGACATCATGTCTCGCTCCATCCACCAACGCCACGTTGCACCACAGACTGTCCAGGAGTTGGCGGATGCTTTAGTCCAGGTCTGGGAGGAGATCCCTCAGGAGACCATCCGCCACCTCATCAGGAGCATGCCCAGGCGTTGTAGGGAGGTCATACAGGCACATGGAGGCCACACACACTACTGAGCCTCATTTTGACTTGTTTTAAGGACATTACGTCAAAGTTGGATCGGCCTGTAGTGTCGTTTTCCACTTCGATTTTGAGTGTGACTCCAAATCCAGACCTCCATGGGTTGATAAATTTGATTTCCATTGATAATTTTTGTGTGATTTTGTTGTCGGCTTATTATTATTATTGTATGTATGTATGTATGTATGTATGTATGTATGTATGTATGTATGTATGTATGTATGTATAGTGTGTGTGTATTTAATGAGATCATTTCATTTATTCAGATCTAGGATGTGTTATTTTAGTGTTCCCTTTTATTTTTTTGAGCAGTGTAGTTAGTGAAGAAGACACAATAGATACAATAAAGGAGTTTTATTATACAAAGTACCGTAAAAGTAAACCTGAATGTCAAGTTAATAATAGTTCAAAAATATTATATATTAAGGAAAGTGGGGAAACTTAAAAAATAAAATAAAATCAAAGGCATTTACATATTCTATTATATTAGAAATTAGCAGTGGTGAAAAGTGTTTTTTATTTTTTTTACTCCACTAAATTTATCTGACTTGCAGATTAATTCATTAATAAAACAAAATATAATAAAACATTTTTTTTACCTTTTGCAGGACTTTTACTTGCAACAGAGTATTTCTACACTACTTCTTCCACCAGCAAATCAGTAATATATTTTTTTATTATTGTTATTTTAATCATTGCCTGCAGTACTTGCCTACACAATACTTGTGTAGTGAGTCCAACATTATCTGACCTCCAGCTGGGTCAAGGAGATTCAGTGGTCTTTTAAAAGCATTGTCACAACAGTGGTGGGGATTTTTTTTTTCTTCTTCATGCAATGCATCCAAAAGAAGAATATTTACTTCTTCATTAAGAAGTTAAAATATTCTCTGGAAACATTAAAATTTGCAGGAGACTGTTGATTGTAGGTAATGGTGGCTTTGTTGTTGTTGTTATAAATAAATGTCATAATTTTTATTCCCTCTGTCAAATTCTGAGTGTTTAAAGAAAGCGGCACATAAAAAAAGGTCTAAATATTCAATATATTTCTGTAGGACTGCGGGAGTTGTGGTCTTGCTGTTTGACAAGAGCAATTAGTCTAATTAGCAACTCGCCGACCTCCCTGTTCTGTGCTGTTTCAGGAGAAACGTGTCGAAATAGGCCGAATTTTTCCTCAAAGCAAATCCTAATTATTATTTATCTTCACGCCAACAGGAGGAAGTTTGCGGAGCTCAGCAACAGGTGAGTTTGTGTAAAGTAATTATGAACTGGTAGTGCCACCATGGATGTTTCTAAATACTCGTTTGTACTGTTGCAACTGAGGTTTTAACATATTATTGGCGTCACTTAATTAACTTTAAATTTACTGATATCCTCAACGTCAAGCCATTTATATGGGACTATTTGGTAGTTTGTTGTCGTTTCTCAGCTGTGTAACATTTAGCTACGTTTATTTAGTGTGGTAGCTGGAAATGCACAGCCAGTGGTTAAATGTAAACACCAACATTTACTCAAGGACTGTACTTTCTACTAATTCGAGGCAGCTACTTGTACTTTACTTGAGTATTTCCATTTTATGCAGCTCTATGCTTACACTTGCATTTATATGGCTTATATGGAAAAAGGAGTATGAGCAGCCTGCTTTGTCTGCACAACACTTTCCAGTTGGCTGCATGTGGTTTGACGGTAGTAATGACGGCTCTGCTGCTTGTTTATGGACTTGTATGGGGGTAAATTGTAATAAACTAAGGTGGATTTTTGAGTTTTGTGTAATTTTAGATAACGCGATGGTCACATTTATCTCAAGCCTAGTTTCCTGTGGTGGCCTGAGATCATAATGACTATGGGTTATTTAGGGTAGTCTCTTTTTAATCGACACGTGATAATGGTTAAAGTGGTTTACAGGTTCACCTGTACAGTTTTAAATACAACAGCTCTGCCATAAATTAAATCTTTACGACGTTTTTAGTGAGATGTAAATTCAAGAATGTTTATTACTGAGGTCATATTTGAAGTTGTACATTATTTATTATTATTATATTTACATACAGGAAAGGGGAGGTACTATAATAGGAAAAACCGCAATGGGCTATAATTCAGACCACCACTAACTATCCTCTCAGGTGCTAAAACATAGCCTAATTAAATTAACTGACAGTGTCGAAACCCGCTTAACATTACAGGCATTATAAAAGTAAAAGTTATGGCAGCACTAGTACTGGGTTCCAGGTGTAACTAATAAAGTGCCCATAGAGTATATTGAGTCACATAAGCACATTTTCAGTGAGCCTGTTTTGTAAATTTATTATGACTGGCAGATGTGTTTCAAACCTTTTATAGTAGATAGATATTTTTATTTGATTAGTTCTATCAGGGAAATCACAGGTGTGACTAATAATATTAATGATACTGGTTCACAAGGGACTACAGCTATAATTAATGTTATTGTGATGCCTGTGCTTTTTACACTGTGCCATGTAAATGTGAAAAGGGCTATACATACAACTGAACTTTAGTAGGTTTATAACATTAAAATGAAGGCATGTTAATTTGTTTGCTTCTTTGCTATTGTCCACTAGAAGGCGCTGATTACTAGTCAGTGTGATACAGCCACTACACAATTAGTAATTAAGTAAAAAGTAACTTCATCATTAGAAATAGTTTAAATATCTATCTGAGATCCTCTGGAAAATCATGATACTCTATCAAACAGTCAAACTACCTACAAGTCTTTTTAAATAGAGTATTTTGTAAACAGTATTTTGTCTACCACCTTACATTTGGCACTGTGTAGTTTTTCAAGAACATTGAAAAACGGTCCTACATCATCAGTTTGTTTAAGAACATAGCCTACCATTTATCACGTATCAATGTTTTTCTTTTTTTAAACATATTTGGCTATAATTGTAAAGTAAAAATGGCAGCTCATTGATTTAGAAATGATTTTTTTATATGGCTATAGCTACATTATTTATATAGGATGTATACCTCTTTCACAGTTTACTTTAGGTCATTCTACTCAAGAAGCAAGAAAACTGATGTGGCAAGCTTGTAAATTTTATTTTCATGTGTAAATGTCTGTTACTGATTGTATTTTCTCATCCTTTTTTGTTAATGAAGAAACAGAAAAAAGCATTCACAAAGTAAGAAAACATTTATAGATACATACACTATATCGGTGTGATAAAACACAGTATCACATGTAGACAACCTGGAGGAAGCAAAGAAACCTCTCTGCTTAAAGGGATTCAGAGCAAAAACATTCACCATCAAAGATGTCGAAGTATCTGACTTTCTTGATCACACCAGTAAGCAACACAAGAATTTGTCCTTTAAATTTTAAAGATTCAAAAACCCTTTACTCAAAAATCCTTTTCAGATTAGTAAAATATATATTTTGTTGTCTATTGCCATTTTGACCAAAAAAACTGATCATTTTTTCAACATTTCCAGGAGGAGCGGATGACCTGCGAGACATCTTTGACAGTGACTTCTGCTGTGAATTCCAGGTGTGTGAAACAACCATGCATGTTGGATGGGCGAGTGTGGGATGAAACATACTGTACACCGGCAGAGACAGAATACGTTTACAGTTTACAACGTATGAACCACATGTGAATTTTACCACTCTGTTGCAGGCACAATGGAGAAACAAAGTTGATTTTTAACAAACTGAGGCGCCCAAACAAATCAACTTGTTCACTTTAACTGAAAAAGATGATAAACACTCAAAAGAAAGCCACTCAGAGATTGACGATAGATTGTTTCCACTTTCTGAATGATGATAAAAACTGGAATGTTATCAGATATTACACATCTGTCATTGGCTTTTCAATCCCTGTTCACCTTCTGTTTTAAATTTTATTTTGGTTTTTCAGCAGCGCCAACATGAACATTATGCAGACAACAGTGGTAAAAACACACCGTCTAAGCAGAGTCTGTGTGAGACAATGTGTGTGTCAAGCTGAAAACAATTACACTAAAAAAAGTAATATTGTACCTCAAATTCACACACAAATTCGATTGCACCCAGCGTTACCCATGATGACCCGATACTGTAAACCCTCCACGCAAACTTTTATTATTGCTGCTGCTTCATGGCACAAATCATAGAAACAATACATCATGTTATTCATATTATTATGTTCTTTTGCCATGCAAGCTCACTACAGTACTGCTTCTATATTAGCTTATATTACACAGAGCAACAAAAGAAATCAGAAAACAGAGCAGGTTCATGTTTGAATAGCCACACACAGTGCCAGACTAACTTCTACAGCTGGTTTTACAGTTTGAGTAAAAAGGATTAGTATTACTGTCATTATCACACAAAATAATGGTTATGATAGTAATAGCAACATTTTATAATAATAATAAAAAAAAACACATACTCAGGGCATCACAAACATAATGAACCAAAGGGGGCCAAACATAATGTTTGAAATAATTTAAACATTTCTGACATTCATTCCTTCGGGTGTTTTCTTAATTTATGTACAGTATATAGTTATATTTGTATAGAAGTAGTGCTTCATTTTTAGAAATACAAATGAAAAAACACAAAAGGGCTGCATTCTGTGAATGCTGTGCAAATAACATCTTTTTACATCAAACCTCCAAGTTTTACGGTCCTGACGAACACACATCACCCTCCCCCACATATTCTTCACAAGCACTCACAAACACAAAAAGTTCTACCCTTGACTTATACAAAACTTTGATTTCAAACCATCACACCTGCCGTCCACTGACAGACAAAAGGTGGCCATTAACTTTGATTCTGGCAGGTACATTTACATCTGTACAGCTAATAAAAGTACTACGTTGTCTTATCTGTCTTAAACATCTCACAAGTAACGAGCCACTTTACCAGAGGTTCTGATAATAGAACTTTGCCTGCCAAAACAGCCGGTTTACAAAACTTACCAGCTAAAGCCAAAATTCAGCGACAGTTGTAAATTTCTTTGTCCCACATTTCAAATCACACTGTGACATCTGGACTCCTGTCTGATACAAGACAACGTGACCTCCACAAAGAAATATGAAGATGACAAGCTCGTTGGCATGTATCAAACCTCAAACTCTCTCCTCCTCACCTCATTTTACCTGCCAGCAGGAAATGCAACTCCACTGGGACTGCGGATCTGAACAAAGACAAACAGCTGAGAACGTTTTTTGTTGGCTGTAAATCATGCTACATGCTATCAGACCCTCGGCACTGACTCATCAGTTGGGAAGAAATTTCAGTTTACCACAGACGGAGTTGTTGCCTCATCAATTCAGTACAGCCTGTAAAGCTACAATCAGACTTCAACCAAGGACCAACAGAGATGCATCACAGTTGTTCAGTCGCATCAGCTGCACAGCAACTGCGTCGGCACTGACATTCAGGAGACTGCGCTGATACTTGCAAACTCGTTCAAACTACCACTGCCTGTAGCCAACATGCTCGCTTCAGAGAAGCAGTAGCAAGGTGGACCAGATACTGGCTCCTCTCCTCAGCATTTATCACCCATCTTTCAGAATCTACCTTGTCCACCTGCAGCAAACTGGACAAGTAAAAAGTCAACAGAAATTTCCAGATGACTTTTGCAACAACCATCTACAAGATAAAATCTCCTAATCCGAGAAGGACTGTTTTCTATGAGCATCTTGAGTCAAATGCTGCATTCAAGTGCAGTCGGAAATATCAAAATCATGACATGACGTCAAAACTCTTAACAGCAGCGGTTTTCTGCAAGAGGCTCATGGGAAACGAAGTTCTGAGTTACTCCGTGAAGGAGAAGTACAGCTAAGCACTGTAAGCCAACTTAGTGTACATCCTGCTGACAAATACTACCAAAATAGGAAAGAAAATGCTGAATAGAAATAAATGAAAAGGAAAATCAGAATCTGTCTTTCACAACAGCTCCAAGAGTTAAAACAAATGACTTTTTCCTTGGAATACAACACACATCCTTTTGTCTTTCAAGAAAAACGTGAACAACAGTGTCTCACAAACATGAATACACTTTAACAAGAATACACGCATTAACTTGTTTTTAAACTGGTGAATGAATTTTAAAAATCAGTCAGAAGGTGAAGCATCCAGGATGTTAGATGAGTTTTCTTGACAGAATAAAATAACCAACCGCCTCGTGCCAAGGAGGCCACTTCTGAGAACTTGTGACTCCCTGAAGCAAGGCGAAAGAGGGACTTGTCACATAGTGCAACGTCCCAAAGAAACAAGTGTCTAAAATACCAGTCCTCGAGCTGTCCAATAAGATTCCTCAGCATGAAGGGAAAAAAACAACACGAAGAACAAAGATCGACAAAAGAAAAGTTCCTGAAATCAAAAAGTCAAAGTCTGTTTGATTTTTCTTAGACGATGGGGAACTGAGACACGATAACAGAATAGCAAAGTCTTTGTGGGATGATGATGATGATGATGATGATGAAAACAAACTGTAATGAGGATTCCTTTTTCTCCATGGTTTTTTAAACGATATGCAGTCACACGAGGCAGCAGGGATCAGTTGTGGCTGACAGGAGTGATTTTGGTGCTGCATTCATGTCATGGGAAAATGGCTGTAAAAATGCACATCTTGCGTCACCTTTTTAAAAGCACTTAATTAATCTCAGACTGTAATGTCCACATTACTGAATTCTGAAATCACCAACAAAGACACTGCTAGTAGTCAAACAGACAATCATGTATTTATCAAATGAATATGATTTGATAATGAACATTTTTGCAAAGATTTTTAATGCTTCTACGCATATCACTCACTAATAGGGGGTTTTCTACAGAACAGTCCCAAAACCGAACTGCCAGGAACTAAACAAAGCAGCTAAAAGTTATTTTAGCACATTCATCTTTACTTTTTTTGTCAGAAGACTCGCAAAGATTTGGCCAATTAGAATGATTTAAGTATTAAAAACCATTTGACATTTTTAGATGCCACAACAAAGTGATCATGTTCTTTTGATTTACTACTTACTTGCAATTTTTTACTGGTCAGAAGAAAGTCCCATCCCAAATCTTAATACTGCTCCAACAACAACCAATGTGCACATAGCTGCAGTCTTTAGGGTTGTGTGTGACCAGTGCTAGTCGAACAGTTTGACTAAAAGTCCCTCAAAAAAGGTTACTGGAAATGTTACCACGTTATAACTGCAAGTTAAATTATTACATATTGATTTTAACGTTCAGTATTTGACCTCATGAACGCATCCAAAGTACACTGTAACTCTGAACCAGCAAGTCACTCTGATTTAGTTTTCTCCACAACATAAATGCAGCACGCACAAGTGGTGGTCATGAAGTCTGACTGAGTGTCTCGACTTCCTGGGAAGTCACGTGATGTGGTTGCTGTTGCTGGTTGGAGTGTTTGTTAAACTCTTCAAGGTATGATGACGTCAGCAGTGATGAGAGCTGATGTGTGTGTGGTGACAGCGGGCGTCTGAGGAAGACGGGTCTAGATGGATTTGGAGGAATCCTGTTTGCTGATGAGAACCTCCAGGAGGCGGAGCTTGGCCTTGATCCTCTTGTACTCCCTGTACTCCTCCAGCATCGGCACCCGGTCCTCCTTTTGAACATTTCTACAGCAGTGGAGGTAGATGGAGGAGAATACATTTTTATTTTTTATTGTCATGTCCTGAAAAAGTCTCCCGCGTTGTCCTCCAACTGACACAAGCTTACTTTCCCTACTCCCAGCAGCTACAGATAAACTATCATTGAGCAAACTGAACCTCTCTGCGGGCCTGTTTGGAGGCTGTTTTACTGAAACAAAATAATTTATCAGCTTCCTCCAGTATTATACTGTTCTGACATGTTCAGTGATGCTTTCAATCACATCACATCACATTCCTGATACCAGAAGATTGTTTGCTTACTCCTCCCTCCTGACCATGTTTTCATGTCCTACATGTTGGGACAGGTTTCTAGCCATGTTACAGCAGGCACTGAAGGCACTGTGTCTACCTAATCTGTGATATTATCTTCAAAGATATATAGGATGTGTCTTCTAATCTAGAATTTTGAATCTGCAAGTGGGTGTGATTAGAGATAGATAGTTAACCTTTTTGGATAAAGCACGGTTAAAACATGTAAATAGATATCATTATATATCATTATGCTGACAGTCTGGATTTTGTTTCTGTGCGCATGTGAGTGACTGTGTCTTCGACCTACCTTCCATTACGCTGATAAAAATCCTCCTCAAACTCTCGAATGGTCTTCCTCAGCTTCTTCTTCTCTGCTCTGGCCTTCCATAGCTGTTCCAGCAGCTCTGGCCTGGAGGATGATAACACAGTTACATGCTCTGCCGTGATACTAACTAATAACATTACTACAGTTAGGAGTCTCATCAGCACAAAAACACTTAATGTATTTATTCAACAGCAACCATTTGGATCTTGACCCATAAATTAAGAATCTAGTCCACAGGGAAAAGGAGGGCAGGAAGTGAGGTTACTGTGAGTAGGAAGTGAAGTGTGGTGGCATTAGGGATCAGCTGTCAGGATCACGTCCCGGTACAAGATCGGGATGTACAAACCTGAGCTGATAAAGGATAGAGGTGTGTGTGTGTGTGTGTGTGTGTGTGTGTGTGTGTGTGTGTGTGAGCTACGAGCTTGGTGACACGTTAACCAGATTACAAACTCGGCAGATAAAAACCTGTTTTCTTTCCGTCTCACATTATTCCTGCTGGTGTCGCACAGTTAGCAAAGCTGGAGATAATCGGAGCTTTTTCCCTGTTCCACATTAGTTAATACAGTTAAAAAAAGAAAATAGCCGAGCTGGATCATCCATTATTGTAAACACAATATGCATTATGTTGGCTCTGCTTATGGTCAATCACCTGTAGAGGTGCAACGATTAGCTGTCAACTATTAAATTATTCGCCAACTATTTTGATAATCGATTAATCGTTTTGAGTAATTTTAAGAAAAAAGTCAAAATGCACTAATTTCAGCTTAACTGTAAAGATTTTCTGGCTTCTTTTGTCCTCTGATAGTAAACTGCATATCGTTGGCTTGTGGACAAAACAAAACATTTGAGGCCGTCAACTGGGCTTTGATCAACATTTTTCAACATTTTGTGGACCAAACAACTAATCAGTTAATCGTGAAAATGATCAACAGACTAACCGATAATGAAAATAATCATTAGTTGCAGCACTAATCACCTGACTCCTACAGGAATAAATGGACGTTTTAGTCAGATGTAGGGTTGGGCCAATAGACGATGCCATCATCCATGGTCGATGGTTGAGCAGGCATCGTGATTGTAAAACCCCAACCCACGGCAAATAAAATAATTTTTCACATAATACCTCTATGTGAAAGCAGGTTTTAATCACCACAAACATTCGCTCCTCGGAATTCTCTTCTCCCCACACTCAGACACACAAGAGGCCTACACCTCAGGTAAACACACCGACTGTAACGTCATAGGCTACCAAGTTTTTAACCGAGTGAAGTCTGTGCGAGGTAACATTACATTACATTTATTCATTTAGCGGACGCTTTTATCCAAAGCAACTTACAATTGCTATACACGTCAGAGGTCGCACGCCTCTGGAGCAACTAGGAGTTAAGTGTCTTGCTCAGGGACACAATGGTGGATGGGTCATTGAACCCAGGTCTCTCACACCAAAGGCATAGTCTTATCCATTGCCCATTGCACCATCGCCACCCCCGCTAATACATGCACATTATTAACAAGGTCAAACGTCAATTAAAATCTGGCTAACTATCAATGCATAAATTAAAAATAAATGACATGTGCATTAATGATGCTGGCACAGTGGATCTCTTCATCTTTGTATATTGCCTCTCATCACAGAAAAGGTTGCCGACCCCTGGTCTAGAACATACTGTAGCAAACACAGAATGTAGCCTCATGGATTAGCTATTAGAACTAACTGAACGTCTGCAGGTCAGTTTGTCTGCATTTCTGAGGCTGTGGGTTGCCATCGAGTTAGCTTGTGCTTAATAAAGAACAATTATGTTATTGTCTTCTGAAGAAATTCAACAAGTGTAATAATGGCCAATTATCTATTGACTAGACAATTAATGAGGAGTCATCGTGAGTCATTTCACTTTGATGACCTATTTGTCCAAACCAGACAACACAGATGAACTAAGTCAAATGGAAGGGGAGAGACTAAGAATGGAGAAAAGCTTTAGGATGTGCGAAGTTAGTCAAAGAAAAGGCACAATTATAAAAATTAGATGCAGGTAGAAAACTACTGGAATGTAAACATGTAAACAAAACAACTTGTATATGTGAAACAAGTATTCGCTTTACAGGAAGTGTAAAGAGGATATATATTAAGTGTGTGTGTGTGTTCCTACATGGACGAGGCGTTAGAGCTGGACAGCCGCAGGTCCATTGCCAGCTTCCCTGACCCCTCCTCCAGTTTGTCTCTCATTGGACAGTCGCTCTGTCTATCAGGTTGGTTCTGGCTCCTCACTGGTCCGTCAGTCGGGGTCACAAGGTCAACGGCCATGATGACCTCAGAGCTCTGCATCTCCCCACCGCTGCTCTCTCCCTCTTCCTCTTCCTCCTCCTCCTCTTCCTCCTCCTCCCTCTCCTCCTCCCTCTCTTCTTCTTCTCCACCTTCTTTCCGCTCGTCCTCCTCTTCTTCTTTGATCTCCTCCCAGAAATGAGCGGTTTCACCCTCAATGATTGGCTGGAGGGTCTGACTTCGCCTCTTACTGGAGGGAGAAACCTGGGGAGAGAGAGGGGAGGTTAATGCGGGAGAGGTACGATTTATTATAGGGCTGTTGGATTAGACTGAATTACCTTTAGCTAATAAACAGCACAGTAAGTATTATATAAAAACAGTATACTGATTTCTGTATGCTTTACTACTACTAACTTCGAATTAGTGAGTATGTTGCAAACAGTGTACTATATGTAATGATGTGTTTATGTGTACGTACTGTGACAGGTGTGATGCTGACTCTGGTGAGCATCTGTTTGACCAATCTGTAGCGATCGTAGAGAGGCTTCACCACCAGACGCTCCTCTCTGGTCACCTGAGAGACAAAGAGAGAGAAACTGGTTAGAAAAAGTTGAAATGAGTGTTTCAACACAGCTTCACAGAAAAAATGAAATCCAGGCAGGATTTAGGATATCTGTAACTTACTGGTCGACCATGCAGGCCCTCGTAGTGCAGCAGGTTCTTCTGAAGAACCGTCTTCTCAGAGGACAACTGCTCCTTAGTCATCTTCTACACAGAGGCAAATCATTATGTAATAGTGATACTGTAGAGAGAGACTGTTGCACAGCTGTGACCTGCCACAGTCCCCGTGTTTGCATCAATGAGATGAGAACTGACGATGTGACATCTTATGCAATACAACCAGGTCAAACGGATAAAACAATCATTACTCATGTATATTTGCTACACAGTTTATGCCCAATCTAATATACTAAAATACTTGTTGTTGTTAAATGTTGTTTGTGTTGTAGTAACAAAAATACAAATTTCCCCATTTGTCTCTTCTGTATAGGGTCTATTTGTATGCCTATATGATCTGAATTTGTTTGCATTTAATTACCATTCCATTTTTAAATGCATTAAATGGAGGATTACTTACCTCAAAATGATACATCATGTATCATGTAAAATCTATCACTTGTTTCTCAAAACAAACAAAAAAAACTTCTTCTTCTCATAATGCTTCTTCTGTTCACAGTTGCAAGGCAAAAAAACAAACAAAACTGCTGCTAACCTTTATGTCATCAGGCCAGCCGTCCTCCTGCCGCTTCCCTTTGACCCTGTGCTGGATCAGCTCTAGTGTTTCCTCCCTGGTGGGATGCTGACCCTTGACCTCCCCTGCTGTGTCATATTCTCCTTGGTCCAGCGTGGAGCCGAAGCTCTTGGGCAAGGTGTTGCTCCGAGGACGAGTCTGGGGTCCGAGTTCGCTCTCTGCACGGTGTTTGGCATCTGGGGAAGAACAAATACAGCGATGACAAAAAGAGAGGTGGGGGGGAGGGAAGAAATGGAGTTGATAGGGTAAAGTACAAAAGAACGAACCAGGACAAGAACAGTGCTGCAGAAAGAGAGAATGGGGAGAAACACTTAAAGGTGACCTATTATGCTTTTCCATATTTTCTGTCATATCTTTAATGTTACAATGTCGGATGTTCATGTTAAACGTGGCCAAAGCTTCAAGTAATGAGGTAAATGTATTTAAAATAAATTTCTGTGAGCGAAAACCTCAGATTCCCCCTGTTGTGAACGCTCCGGTTTCAACAGTGTTTTCTACTCTCGGCTCCATACCTCTATATAAGATCATAAGAGACACAACAGCATCTACAGCTTTTTTTCAGACAGAGCTGTAATGAGGGGCCAGTATAAGATAGAAAATAATTTTTTTGAACTTTGAATCATGCAAAGCTACCATAGGAGTCATGGAACTACAATATATGGCTAGAAATGCAGTATAATAGGTCACCTTTAAGTCTTCAGACACATAAGACATCTTTTACTGGACTATCAGATATGCAGGAGCCTGACAGACAGCTGCAGTGGTTTAAGTCAGCAAATTACAATATATGAGGAGGAAGACAAACATGCTTCGATTCAACACACAAAAACACAACACCGCACCCTTTCAACAAAACAGGCAAAAACCTTTTCCTGAACAGCATCTAGACATTCAACAGCCCCCGAGTCAGTCTGACAGACGTATTGCTGCTGGATATTGTAATTTCTCAAGATAAAGGGTCACCTAACTCTGCAATGATCCTATTCAAGTGTATTAACTTACCCTGTGCCAAAGCATACACAGTTTTGGTTTGCAAAACATGACTGTATTTATATTGTGCTGTTGTTTCCTTGTAAGAACATTATACACTGTTTAAAAATTTCAGGTATTTAAAGATTAATAACAGAAAACAATATTTTATTTTTTTATACATGCGCACAGCACTTCCCCCTATGTGGTTACATTGGAATAACGGTCACTGTATAAAGTTTTAGAGTCCAGTTTTGGTCACAATGAAATAAAAACTAATAATCAATGCCTAAGCATACATTTATTTATCAATAAACACCCCCATTAAAAAATAAAATGCCTTTCTCTTCCTCATGTTACTTCACTCCAGATGGAAAGAGTTAGATGTCCTGTCCCAGCATGCAGTTTCAACAGGAAATACACCAAAACAAAGAAGCAAGATGCCCTCACAATGCTGCCTCATTGTGACTGTCAGTAGTGTTATGTATTGTCTACTTACTGAGGGGGTTGGTACTTACTGAGGTGATACGGTCTAGAACTCAGGCCTGAGTAGGGGTGGAGCGGGGGGGTGAGTGTGTGATGGGGAGGTGAGCAGATAGAGGAGGAGGGTGGGGAGGAGGAAGGGGAGGTGGGGGCATGATGGCGTCTGTATGAATGGAGCAAAGCCTGGTGCCTCAGCGTGCTTCTGGGTAAAAGGTGGTGCTGGCGTCCTGGTTGGCCCATCAGTCAATCAATCAATCAATCGGTCGGTAGGAGGAGGAGGGAGGAAAGTGGAGAACGGGTGCTCGCGTTATTGTTGTTTTCAATTTTGATTTGAAACAGAGAGAAATGTTTCGACCACTGCGTTCTCCGAGGAGAGCCGTCACCTCACATAGAGAAGGTGGACGAGTGTCATGGGTTTTGTTCAGAATGGTGAAACGATGCACAGGGGAAGACACACGTCAAAGTGTAGGAAACTATTTCTAGACATCAGATAAATCATATTTTACTTTCTAATACCCGAGTTTGGCTCACTTACTGGCAAGTAACACACTTGCCAAAAACATCAAAAGCTTCAATTTGAATTCTGATCAAAAAGTAGATTGTGTGGATTATTTCTTTATCAGGGTGCCTTCATATTTCCAAATATTCTGCAATCAATTTATGTATAACTTTAAGTCTTATCCACCGTTTCACCTTACCGAATTCGCCGCAGAGGTAATGAATGTGGGTTCACAAGGACGCACCAGCACACGGAAGGGTGGGAGCCACGCATGTGAGAGCCACGTCAACCCCTGGCATGTTTGTGTTTGCACATGTGTGTGTGTTTATTAGACCAGCATACATGCAATGTTGTTACAAAAGTTTTTGAGTGGGGAGGGTCAAGCTGTCCAGCATGGAACAGGATGGCACGCAGACACTCTAAACCCAACACATACACACAAATGCACATTCACAGGAAAAAGAGCGAGTGGTACCTTTAATCTGCCTGCGGATCTTGGTGAGGTCGGTCATCCATTTGAGGACTTTAGGGTTAGCTGCCTTGTCTCCATGAGAGGGCTGCAGAGAGAGGAGGAGAGAAAGGGCAGAGAAAGAGTTAGTGTTTCACTAAAAAGGTCATGACAATACTGCAGAATTTACAACAGCAATTTAAGTCCTTAGCTGACGCTTTTATATACATACTTGGACAAAGTCTTGCTAAATGTTAAATATTAAATTATCAGGGTTTGTGATTTACTTTTTTAACCATTTTGCTTTTTATTTACTTTAAAAAAATAGTTTGTTCATATTATTGAGCAGTAAAATTTCTAAACAGTAAAACAAATAAAATCTCTTTACATTTTTTACCTTATAATTCCTCTCCTTCTCAAACTGCTCTTCAAATTGCTTAATTTTCTTCTTCAGGTGCTGAAGCTTTTTTGTTAGCTGGTGGGTCACCGAATCTCCGCCTCTCATTGCCTCTTTGGAGCCAAAAGATGCTCTGCGCGGCCTTGGGATGGCAGAATACACACTTATAAATGAATAAAATACCAAAATAAAGCAACAGAAGAAAATGACCATTAAAATCCATAAACAGAATCTAGTAGCAATGCTGGATGTCTACGCCTCATCGTACCTCTGTGCTTTGGTGGGCGAGGTGGCGTCCGGGTCCTGCTGGAGGAAGCGCTGAGCACCGTGCGCTCCGAAGTCGAGGAAGCGTCTTGCCAGGACGTGAGCGTGGTAGTGGGAAGAGGGGGAGGCATCTTGCCCTCCTTCCCCCTCGCCATCCTCCTCCAGGTGCAGTAGGGGGAGAGGAACCATACGACCGGCCAGCGGGGAGAGCTGCGCCTCTCCACTTTCATTGTCGTCCTGCCAGGATTTGAATGCCGGGACGGGGTCTGGAGAGAGAAGGAAAGAAACAAAGAGAGGAGATCAGATCAAGTTAACGGAGGTCAGTAAAGCAGGGAGAGAAAGAACAACAAATTGAATCCCTAGCTAACAAGAGTTTGAGGTAGGTACTGTACATATCAATAAGATCCACACAAGGGCTGCTTGGAAAGGGGGCTGTTGAGCTGATACAACAAATTAATGTTCTTCTTCGGTACCCTGCTGACTCAATCTTTGCCTGATTAATGGTGTCTTGACTGTCAGCGCTATGCTAACGAATGGAGTCAAGGGGGGAAGTAGCTTGTGAAGGAGGGTCAGAAAGATAAGAAGCAGAGTCGGGGGAAAAATGTATTTAGAGAGAGAAGGTGTCCGGATCAATCTGCCCAGTCACACTGCAGCCAGAGGGAAGAGGAAAGATAAGAAGAAAAATGTCCCGCTATGTTTTCAAATATGATGGAAAGAAGTGCTTCACATGCAGGGAGGGATTTATTCATGATCAGTATCACTCAAGCTAATTTTAAAATAGAATATATGAATAAAGTTTTCTGTACTGTACTACCAACAAGCAACTACAATTTTTACAAAAAAACAAACGGGAAAGGATGAAAGTAAGGATAGGTAAACCGGTGGATGTGTGGGCAGATATGAAACTACTTACCGTGGCCTTCTTTTTGCAGGTGCATACATGAGAAATCTATGGGAGGGAGGTGGAGATGGGAGGGGGGTGATGCTGTTTGGATGGAAGGAGGACAATAGGGAGGAAGAAGAGAAGAAAAGGTAGGAGGGACAGGGAGAGAGATAGCAGAGAAGAGGAGCATTGAAGTCATTCATCATTCATAACTTCACTCACCAACATTCACTCAGCACACGTGTGTGTTGGGTTTAATTACAACAAAATGATGCAGAACATCAAATTTTTCCCTCAGCCATACATAATATATGACAGGATTAACGGGGAAATGAAGGAGAATGACAGCTCAGAATGTAACTAAATTTTGATTAATTCAAAGATCTTTGAGAAACATTTAAAAATGCATGAGACACACAGAAAGTAATTTTAATTACATGTTTAGTGATAACATTTAGGTAAATTTTGGAAGAATTTCTTATGTTATACTGACCATGATTAAGCCACTATGTTCTGACAGAAAAGATGGTTTAGAGCCATTTCAACAACAACAACTCTACAAATGACTCTATCCCATGAACAAAAATGGAAGAATAACTGGATTTGACCAAACTTGGAAAATATATATAATTTGGGATCATGTTGGTAAAAACTCTGCTCACTGGGGCTGAACAATTAACTGAAATATTATCAAAATCATGCTGATTTGGCACAGACCCCAGCATAAGTCACATCATCGTCATTTGTTTCAGTGAAAATTAATTAATTAATTAAACAATGATTTTTTGATCATTCAGCCCTACCTCTCACTTAAACATGTTTTCTGGGTCTGCTTTCCTACTCAGCATTTTATTTTTTTATTGTATATTATGCATGCTGTGAAAACTGAGACAAGTGGGTATCTACCTTCCCAGTGGTTGTCAGGAAAGAGCTGGAGATGGGGGTTATGGCCAGAGTTTGGTTGGCATGGCGAAAGGTAGTTTCTGTTGGTCTGACTGGTGTTGGCGTTCTGATCACAGCGGCATGAAAGAGAGTCCTGGAGGAAGAGAGATTAAAAGAACCAAAAAAATGAGGGATGAAAGAAAAAGGAAACAAATAATTGAAGATAAAAGTATGAGAATGAGTAGAAGACAGAAAGAAGTATAGCATAAATTGTGAGGTATTATTGTTTTTAACTGATCCAAAATTACTCTGCTGTGCTTGTAATTCATTCCATCAAAAAAAGAATCACAAACTATTTTAGTACAATGAGACATACACTGATATACGCCCTCATATTGCTACTTACACAGCTTATGGGGTCGGTCTGAGTCTGCTCCATGGTGTCACAGGGGTCACTGTCCTGCCTGAAAACAAAGATTAGAAACACAAAACATGCTTGAAAAAATAATTACGACTCAAAGTAAAGTGAACAAAATATTCCAGATTTTACAACCACATTAAACTTGAGCTGTGCATTTTAATTGTTAGGGGACATAACCTTTTAACCGCTTTGTTGTTTTCAAATAAAATAAGAAAACTGTATTTTCTTTCCTGTACTGGCCAGTCTTTGAGCATACCACTGCAAACACTTACTGTTAACAAACAGCAAGCCAAGTGACCTCATGGATCTGGGACATATCTGATTTTGAGCAAATCAAAACCATTTTTGAATCAACTCTTCCCAGAACAATTTAATGATGATAAGTTGGAGATCCCAAAGTATTTTAGTCATAATCCTTCAACTTTATTTGAAGTCTTCCTGAGACATTGTTGGCGTCTGACCAGATCTGAACAACAGCTGAGGAAGAGTCACACTAACTAGAAGGGTTTCCACATGATGAATAATTTCTTGTGGGAAAAAGTCACAAAACTGCTGCTTCAACTGTTGGGAAATCTCACATTTGTTACAACTAAAATCTATACTGTTGCTATTGATTGTTTTATCCTGCTGATAAACATGTTCCCCATTTTCCTGCATGAACCATTTTACAATGAAACAATGCAAGCAACATGAACCATTGTACATTAACCTTGCTTGGAAGCAATCAGAACCTACAGGTGTGACACAGTATGACATATGAGGTGTAAACTACACAAGCATGCAGTGCAAGTTAAGACAATTATGTGCGAGAGAGACAGATAATAATGACTTGTATTAGATGCAGCATAATAATGAGTAGAGTTGGGCGATCTCTACAATGAAACATCGGGATGGACGATGGGGGGGAGGGCAGCAGTTGTCTTATGTGCATGACTTCACTCAGTAAAAAAACTGGTAGACTATTAACTTACGTTACAAGTCGCAGTGGATATTTTATGCACGGACCAGGTAAAGCAACAATGAACACAGAGGGTGCAGATGTTGGTTTCAGTTGTTTGATAGGCTACGTCATTAACAAGCCGACATGCGGCTCACCTGCTGCCGTGACAACGCATCGCGGGTGGAAATATACGGAAAAAAGACGAGTTGTCAGTCTTTTAGGCGACTTTATAAAACATACCGCTGATGGAGAAAATGGAGCAGACGGGGGGAGAGAGAGGCGGGGCAAGCCTGGTGTTTACCTGAGGTGTAGGTGTGTGTGAGTGTGTCAGAGTGTGGGGAGAAGAGAATTCTGAGGCAGGTGCAAAGCATAATTAAAAACAATAATAAGAATGTTCATGGTCATTGAAACCTGCTTTCACAGGGTGGTATAATGTTAAAATTTGAGATTATTTTTTGCTGGGGAGGGCCACCGATGGACGATGGCATCGTCTATCGTCTATATGGACGATGGCATCGTCTATCGTCTATATGGACGATGGCATCGTCTATCGGCCCAACCCTAATAATGAGCTGAGGACTCCATATCGAAGTGATTTGTAAACCTGAGGTGTCAAGTGACCAGTGTCCTCGTCCAAATTAAGTCTGAAGTTAGTCTGAAGTCTTAATTCTAATCTTGATTCTTAAAACACAAGGCTACAAAGCTATCTGTCTAACTCTAATAACATTGCTAGTATATTCTTGACACAAGGTGATTCTGAGCTAAATAGAGGCTCAAAAGCAAACTGACAATCAACCCAGCCCACCTGGCATTGTTGATGTTGTTCTCAGCATCTCTCTTCACAGCCTCTGTATCCAGATCCATTCCCGAGCTCTCCTCTAGGGTGGTGCCAGAGTCCAGTGAATCCTGAGAGAAAGCAACAAGCAAGAATTTAAGATATTTTATTGATTTTATAAATGGAAATCAGAGCCTTAAACAAAACTACTAGAACAGAGCAAGGCCAAGAATATAAACAAATAGGAATCTCATAAAAAGCTGCATTCAACTGGGCTTTCAACGTTACAAGTTTGTAGCAAGTTAATTTGTAAGTAATGTTATGTATCATCCATTGGGTTAAGTCAGTAGGTGTTTGTTCTTGTAAAGTTGGAAGTTGTTGTGTTATACTGTGCTGAATTAAATGAACAAAATGTTCAGTCCTTTTGCTGGTTGTTCCAACATATTCAGAATCATTACCGCTTTTCGTTAACAGGCAGTTAGTGCTTTAAAATTTGAATTTTAAAGGCTCATCATTATGGTTTTGTATTTGTCTGTAACATAGCACAGTGTCGACAGTGTTCCTTATAACATTCTTTCTCAGTCCTGGAACTCAAACCATTTTCTGATGTCCCAAAACATTTATATTTATATAACTACATTGATATCATAAATATTCACCGACTACAGGTGCTGGTCATATAATTAGAATATCATCAAAAAGTTGATTTATTTCAGTAATTCCATTCAAAAAGTGAAACTTGGATATTATATTCATTCATTACACACAGACTGATATATTTCAAATGTTAATTTCATTTAATTGTGATGATTAAAACTGACAACTAATGAAAATCCCAAATTCAGTATCTCCGAAAATTAGAATATTACTTAAGACCAATACAAAAAAAGGATTTTTAGAAATGTTGGCCAACTGAAAAGTATGAGCATGAAAAGTATGAGCATGTGCAGCACTCAATACTTAGTTGGGGCTCCTTTTGCCTCAATTACTGCAGCAATTCGGCGTGGCATGGAGTCGATCAGTCTGTGGCACTGCTCAGGTGTTCACCTGTGCCCAGGTTGCTCTGATAGTGGCCTTCGGCTCTTCTGCATTGTTGGGTCTGGCGTATCGCATCTTCCTCTTCACAATACCCCATAGATTTTCTATAGGGTTAAGGTCAGGCGAGTTTGCTGGCCAATTAAGAACAGGGATACCATGGTCCTTAAACCAGGTACTGGTAGCTTTGGCACTATGTGCAGATGCCAAGTCCTGTTGGAAAATTAAATCTGCATCTCCATAAAGTTGGTCAGCAGCAGGAAGCATGAAGTGCTCTAAAACTTCCTGGCAGACGGCTGCGTTGACCTTGGACCTCAGAAAACACAGTGGACCAACACCAGCAGATGACATGGCACCCCAAACCATCACTGACTGTGGAAACTTTACACTGGACTTCAAGCAACGTGGATTCTGTGCCTCTCCTCTCTTCCTCCAGACTCTGGGACCTTGATTTCCAAAGGAAATGCAAAATTTACTTTCATCAGAGAACATAACTTTGGACCACTCAGCAGCAGTCCAGTCCTTTTTGTCTTTAGTCCAGGCGAGATGCTTCTGACGCTGTGTCTTGTTCAAGAGGCTTGACACAAGGAATGCGACAGCTGAAACCCATGTCTTGCATACGTCTGTGCGTGGTGGTTCTTGAAGCACTGAATCCAGCTGCAGTCCACTCTTTGTGAATCTCCCCCACATTTTTGAATGGGTTTTGTTTCACAATCCTCTCCAGGGTGCAGTTATCCCTATTGCTTGTACACTTTTTTCTACCACATCTTTTCCTTCCCTTCGCCTCTCTATTAATGTGCTTGGACACAGAGCTCTGTGAACAGCCAGCCTCTTTAGCAATGACCTTATGTGTCTTGCCCTCCTTGTGCAAGGTGTCAATGTTGTCTTTTGGACAGCTGTCAAGTCAGCAGTCTTCCCCATGATTGTGTAGCCTACAGAACTAGACTGAGAGACCATTTAAAGGCCTTTGCAGGTGTTTTGAGTTAATTAGCTGATTAGAGTGTGGCACCAGGTGTCTTCAATATTGAAACTTTTCACAATATTCTAATTTCTGAGATACTGATATTGGGGTTTTTATTAGTTGTCAGTTATAATCATCAAAATTAAAAGGAATGAACACTTGAAATATATCAGTCTGTGTGGAATGAATGTATACATTCACTTTTTGAATGGAATTACTGAAATAAATCAACTTTTTGATGATATTCTAATTATATGAACAGCACGTGTATTTCACTAATGGCTTGAACTAACGACTACTAGTCAACTAGAAAAGTCTTTAGTGGGGGGCAACCCTAGTCTGGAAGCTCAAATGGTCCTTTGGACAAGAGCCACTGAGGGTCAAAGAGGGTATGTGACTCTCGCTGTCTTGATTTGGAAGATACCACTGTGCTGCTGCTATCTGAAAATGTCACCAGTCAAGAATATGTGGTTCACTTCATACATCCATTTACAAACCTACTATGTACCCCGGGCATACAGTAGGTACAAAATGTGGACCTGACTGCTTTCGTAAAGTTACAACAAGTAGAAGCAAACCCTCTGGTTAAATCTCGGAAAGAAGTTTAGACAGTTTTCACGCACTCATTTCAAGTATGTTTTGGCCTTACGTCGTTCCCTCATGACTAAAATTTTATAAGAACAAAACACTGCCTGTGTATCGTTGCATTCATTAAACTGTGAGTATATTTGTAAAACACATCTCTTGTTGTCTCTGCGTGCCACCCCATTTGAATTCCAGCTATTGAAGCAATCAGAGCAGAACAAAGATGGACTGTGCTGATAATATCAAACATTCAGCCTTGGAATGAACTGACAGACTGAGACAGGAAGGAGGTTAGCTATGGGAAATATGCCGCCTGCCCACGCAGCAATAAGTCAGGGTTTGGGGATTTTATGTGCGAGTTTTTGAGGGAATCTCCACTTGTGTCTGATTTAACTTTCAATTTGTTTACCCACCGGAGACAATTATGGTTTTTGCGATTGTTACATTTAGTTTGCATATAGTCTTTCTCTGATGTGTGTGTGTTTGAAGTCTAGTTGGATGCTAGCTAAAACATTGATTTTATGTGTTTGAGCATGTGCAGGTGTATGTGTTTACGTGAGTGTTTAGCATCTCCCACAGACCTGCGTGTCTTTCTGGATTTGTTGTAAATGCAGCTCGGTCTCTGTGATTGTGGTCTCCCCTTCTGTGTCACAGGGACTGTCCTCAGGGTCAGTTTGTTGCTCCAAATCTCCTTGGCAGCCCTTGTCTGCAGGCTCATTGGGACTCACCCTGGAAAAAACAAAAACACAAGCATTAATAAAATAATGAAACCTCCTATATTTTACCATTTTTTTCCAAAGCTGATTATATATATATTTAATAACTTAAAAACACTAATGCCGTTAGTGCATGCTGATTAAAATAAAGCTGCCCATTTTAGTATGCAGAGTAAAACTCTTGGACATCTTGTTTGGTCTTAGAGGTGACTGACCAGCTGCTGCCCCCAATAAGTACAGTTTGCTAATTAACATCACAGCTGTCAGCATGTTTACTGGTAAACCGAACCATCTGACTGCTTTCGTGCCTCTGTACACAATGTTCACTATGACAAATATGTTTCTTTAATGTAATCTGATGCCACGTTCAACCACTGAGGAATCTGTGTTAAGGCATGTTTCTACTAGCAGGTGCATGAAGGAAAAAAAGCAGCTCCATGGTTCTAATACTTTATTCAAGTGTATTTGGTCTTCGTGTTTGTGTATGAACTGTGTGAGTGTGAATGCTAATGTGTATGTGCGCTCTCACCCCTGGCTGTCATAGTTGCTGAGGTCTTGGTCGATGGAGGTTTTCAGATCAAAGAAGTGCTGCTCCACTGCAGCCCTGATGGTTCGCTGAATTATCCTGGGAAAACACAAAAAATACAAATGTAATTTATGAAGATTTATGTGTATTCACTTTTTTTTTTTACTGTGTGGCTTATGATGATACATTACATTTGACAAAAAAAAAAAAGGGCATTTTCGTCACATAATGTCCCCATGTTTTTAAGTTTTGTGCTGCTTCTGTTCAAACAAACAGAAAGGTAGGTGATCAAAAAATATATTTTTAAAATATTTGTGTCAGAGCATTTGATTATTGAAGGCATTCCCACTTTTGAAATTTAGCAAGGCAGTTAGTTGATGCTCAATTGCAGTCTTTGTTTAAAACCGTGTTAAATACAGAGTAACAATGCAGCTCTTGTTTGAGTTAAGTTCAACTGTAATGAGGGTAAACAGCTCAGTTTACCAGTGACTAACAGGACAAACTTTTTCCTAAGTTTAATTAACTACTTTACATAAGCTCCTGTGACCATTTTCTCTGTGACTCCATGGCAGAAAACCCCCCCACCGTAGCCAATAAAAATATCCAGGTAAATCCACATAAATTTACAGTCTGTTGTACAGTCAGTTTGTTTTGTTACGAGTGCCTGCATGTATGAGGGTGGCTGACTCACACCAGTGTAGTTTATAAACAGTCAAACTTTATTTCTTCCTATTTCCATTTACTAACAACTGGGACCACATTGAACCTGTGGTGTTATATACAAACTAAATGATGCCTGAAACCATTTTCAGTTTACTAAATGGAGAGTTCAGTTCTGCCCATAATTAGTTAAACATTAACGATAAGTAACTTCTGCCTGCTGTAATAATGCATGTTATAAATAAGTATTTGTTCTATTAGTTTGCATTTTTTAAACTGTAACCTGCAACATTCCTGACAAAGAATCCAAAACTAGAAATGTATTATATATATTTTTTTATATTTTGTAATTCACTTCAAACAATCCAATTTCCTCTCACTGATCAGAACGTAAAGTGATCATCTTAATGTTTTAACACTTCAGTAACTGTGTATCTTAGCCTCTGTTCTACAATAAGGTTCAATGATGTGTAATCCACTCCGTTGTGTTTAATTATTGAATTGTCTATATGTGAGATTAATTTATGTGCCCTTTTGTTCAGTTACACGGAATCCAATACGCTCAGTGCATTGTTCACCCATTTAATGAAGATCTTTTTGTTCAGAATAAGGTTTATGAGTACACAGGAATGATGCACAGATTAAAACCTTAATCTCTGGAACCACATGTAAGCCTCCTCACATAATCCTACCTGTAATCAGCCTCTTAATAGAAAGACCTCTACTCATCAATTAAATGACAAACTGATGTGCTTAGCTCCATGCTAATTACAAAAATGTATTGGGGTATAAGGTATATACAGTAAGAGACATTTACTAAAAGGTTAATCATTAATCAAACATATTGAGAGCCTTTTAATGACTGGCATGGTTTCTTTTCCATTCTGGGCTATTTAACAAGTCCTTATTAAGTCAATAACCTGGTCCAGTTCTGAGAGGATTAATAATGCTTAAACTAGAGCCAGGGAGAGAGGGGAGGAAATCGGCCTATAAAAGGTAACAACAGCAGCCACTCTGACCTCTACTACACTGACGTGTGACGGCTGATCCACAGGCTCTACTGACACTTTATTTAACTTGTTTGACCATGTGGGTGTGATCAAAACGTATGCCTCCCACATTTACTCTGGCTTCCTGCAGGCTTTTGTCAGGTTTGTTTCTCCTCTGTCTTAGACAGCAATAGAGGTTGAAGACCTGGTAGAAAAAGACATTTACTGAGAAATCTCAGCATTCTCCACACCAGCTGCTGCTCATGATGGATCATTCTTCATCATTCAATTTACTTCTATATGCCCCCCAACTCCTATTATTAAGCTTATACTCTTTAATTAAATGTGCTATGCAGTATATAGTCACTGGCAAGACCATACTAGGTGTACTGGTTTGGTGACTACAAGATGTTTCCTCCAACAAACATGATTTCAAGTGGTAGACTTGGAGTTCGAACATAATTGCGTTTTGGCTTGTCATCCATGGCCATTTAAGTTTAAACTCATAAAGGTCTTAGACCTGAGGTCTAATAAATGTGTGTGTGACCTGAGGATATATCAGCAATACTCCTGCACAATTTTACACACACTTCCTTGGACCACAAGCTCACCTTCGCCTGCAGCAACAACTCCACCTCTCGCTGTAGGAAGCTCTAATAATAATGACTATCCATCATGCACAAACACAGTTACTTCCACAAACGAGCACATGAGCAGTAAAAGATGATGTGCTAGCAGTCTCTCATTTAATGGACTTGTGAAAGTGGAAAAAGTTAATGCACTGGCATGACACCTAGAACTGAAGAGATAGTTCCCCCTAATAGCTAGTATGTATTCAAGTATGTTAGTATTCTTTGTCATTGATAACTTTATTTCTAAAGAAATCATGGTCAACAAGCTCTCATCTTTTGATAATGTGTGTTTTTTTAGGTTGCTGAATAGAGAGGTCATGTTCAGAAGACAGTATTTGTCTCACTGTTCAGCACAGAGGAAACCAACCTCATCCAACATATTATTATTATTATTAAAGTATTTTTTAAACAAAAATGCAAAACACTCCGTAGTTCCACATCCCAAATTTTGAGGATTGGTCTCTTTTCTTTGGCTTGTGCAATAGCAAACTAAACATCTTTGGGTTTTGGAGAACTGGTCAAACAAAAATAGGAAATAGTGAAGCATTTTTCACTATTTTCAAACATTTTATAAATGTAACGATTTGTCAAGATAATCAGGAATATAATTAACTGATTAATTGGTAATATGTTGATGTCAACAAATACAAATCATCAAACTGAATATGAAGATTTAGGCAGGACCAATTTTCTGCCAGTTTGTTCTCTTTCGTTATTAATTAATTAAAACTCGGGAATATCAGTGTTCATGTGTTATTTCTGAGCTGTGAGGCATTTTGTATTTGTGCCCTCAAGCCTTCAGGGCAGTAAACTCACATTAATACATATTGCACCACAGAAAATTATTTTATGAGTTTGCAAGAGGCAGACGCCTGACAGTCATGTGATTGCGGAGTTTATGTCCTTGAGGCTCTAAAAGAACCAAGCCACGCAAAATGCTTTAGTTTAGCTTCATAATCAAAACACAAGGCCGGTTTTTCTACTTCTTCCTTCCTCTTAACCTCTTTCTCCCAACTAAACTCTTCTCAGCGCCGCCTGCAATTCTTCTTTCTTGATTCCTGTTATTTTTGATCTGCCTCTTGAGTAGATGGCCCTGAGCTTCCTTTTCCCATTTCAGTTAACCTGGTTGTCTCTCTCTCACCCCTTGTTTGCCTCGTTGCTATCATTTTCTTAATAAAATGTGCAGGATATAACAGCTTACTTTAAGATTTCTTTCCCAATTTGGACATGAAATTACTTGCCAGATTACAGTTTCATAGTGTAGCTGTATGTCCTAAGGTTGTTAGAGTGTATATCTAAGTGCGTGTACATAAAGAAGTGCTTATGCATGTTATTGTGGGTGGATACAAATATTCTGTATGTGTGCGAGTGTACTTACTCAGCAGAGTCAGCAGGAAGGATGGATATAGGGGAGAGGTGGGAGCTGTAGAGAGAGAGAGAGAAGGGAAAAGGACAACACGATTAGAACATCACGTACTGGACTCCCTTCCCATATTGACATGAAATGACCTTGGAGGGTGTGGGGCAGCAAGAGTCACAACAGGAAAGAAGAATGACAATAACCATGAACACGTCTGTGTATACCGTGTGTGTGTGTGTGTGTTTGCAAAACAGCCAGCGATCAAGTGCTCACTGTGTGTGAAAAGGAACGTAATAAAGCTGTGTATAAGTCAGCATGATGAGTTTATGTTCTCACTGCAAAATATCTCCTAATCCAAGATCCCTTTTGCCAAATGACAATCTCAAAAATTGCACACACACACACACACACACACACACACACACACACACACACACACACACACACACGTTTCAGTCACTGGCGCCACTCTGGGTGGGCAGATTGTTATTTAGGCTACAGCGCTCTGCTAAACCCTACTGATCAGATAGAAGGGTGTGTGTCAAGACATTTATTCTTCAATGTTCTTCCAAAAGCAAGGAAGTGTGTGTGTGTGTGTGTGTGTGTGTGTGTGTGTGTGTGTGTGTGTTTGGGGGGGGGGGGGGGCATGAAACAGGGAGGCAGCTGAGAAGTGTTCATTGATCCATCAGGCTGCTGCTGGCCTCACATATGCACACTGACAGGCATGTCTGGACTCCGTATTTATATAACACTCCTACACACACACACACACACACACACACCAAAAAAAAAAAAACAGCAGCTGACACTATGCATGCTTTTAATGTGTATGTTGGCTCTTTAAAACAACCACACACACTCTAAATGCAGCCGTCCTCAAGTAGACTGATACATACTGAATGATTAATGACAAGCAGGACAAAATAATGCCATCCATACTTATTCTTCTTTTTCCATCTTTTCTTCTAATCTTTTACTTGTTTCTTGTTGCTATTCTTGCCCTTTTCCTTCAACTTCTTTCTGACTTTATATTCTGCCATTTTTTACAATTAGATTTTTTTTTCTCTAACCAAACATTCCCCTGTTTTCTCTTCGTTTACTTATCACTTTATTGATTATTCTCGCCTACGTCTTTTACATGTTTTCCTCAGATATTACATTTTTCCCTTTTGCTCCTTGTTAATGCTTTATACAAAGAAGTTTTTTTATATCATCTTTACCCTTTGCTTATCTTTTTCATAAGTTCTTCTTTCTCAATCTGTCTCCAGTGTTTCTTTCCCCTTTAATCTTCTCTCCTTCCTCCTCCCTCGATTCTTAGCATCTCACATTCCCTTTCTGACACTGTAACCTTGATTGTGAATGTGTGTGTGATGGAGAGAGAAAAAGAAAAAGGTGAGGTGTTGGAGATCAAAGAATACGCCTGCCAAAAAAGCCAGAGAAACAGTGGTTGTGAGGGAAGAGGAGTAATGAAATGTGAAAACAGACAAAGTAACAAAATAAAACTGTTTTGTTCTCTTGCCCTCCTAAGTTGACTGATTAAGTACTTGTTAAATGTTAAATTAGCTTCTGACTTTGTATAAGGTCAACATCTTTTGTGTCCATCTCTGAAGTGAGTTTACATCAGATCCCTTGTCATTTGAAATGCTCCTCCTCCTCTTATCCTGTTAGTTAACATAGTGAACTGCCCTTTAAACATGAAGGCACCCTACATGCTCCCTACAGCAGCGAATGTCTCTTTCGAAGCACCGATAACATCTGACAGCAGACTCCCCTGCAGAGATGTACCCTAAGGGACCGCATTGGGTGGCTACATGACTAACAACAGATTTGTGATAGGATACTCAAGGACATTACATAATCTCCATGTGCCTTAAGTAGCAAAGATAATATCTAGCCATACACCATTTTGCCCCTGAAGACTTGAACTGAATAGCTGTTGCAGCCTTCGGGGTTCTTGCCCTCCTGGAGCTCCCTAAGCGGCAGAGATAACATTTCTATCAGCGCCAGTTGACTCCCAAAGGACAATATCTTTTGGGCATTTATTCCATGTCGAGGACACTATGAAGGGCAGATAGGACTGAGTATTCTAGGTCCCTAATGTAGTAGAAACTGGTTTTGAAGTGTCTCAAGGTGATATGTTTCTTGCAGTTTTCCTTTACTAATCAACGGACTCGAAACTTTAAACCAGAGGGGGTGGTAAGTTGCTCTTTAATAGGGATCCATAACATGTTTTGTGTGTGTTTGTTGTTTATTTAAGACTTGATATTTAGATTAAAGGATGAAAAAGACAGGTCATTTTAATGATGATCCATGTATAATTGCATTTGTTGCAGCTAAAACTTGCACAGTATTTATTTTTGTTGTTGATTTTAGCTAGAAACTGCCACATGTGCATGGATGCCAAGAAAGTATTAGTTAGCGAATAAAGAACTGGCTTTCAGAAGTGCTCCAACTAGGTCGGATTAAATCAGCTCCTGCCCTACAGCCAAGACTGCAATAGTAGCCAAAGATAGAGATAAGACCTTGATAACATCTTAAGGACTCACACCTTTAGCTAGCTGTTGGCTGTGACACTGTAAAACCTTTTAAAGTGACCTAAGTAGACAGTCATGTTGTCTTTGATCATATCTCAGAAGCAAACAAATGGTCCCCTTGTCTTCAAATTTTATTTAGCAGTCATGACTGATTTATCAATCACATCCTAAAAGGCATCTGAGGCGAGTTAAATTAATTCTTGCCAGGCAGGTGTGTATTACCTGAGGGCTGACTAATGAACTTCTGATTTAATTTCAGTAAAACATATATATATATATATATATATATATATATATATATATATATATATATATATATATATGAGTAAATGTTAAAGAGGTGGTAATATGAATATGCTTTTTTCCCTCTACTTTATTGAGTTCTATACCTTTTTTGTGCATGTAATAGGTAAGTGAAAAAGCCCAAAGTCCAGCCCAAAGGGAGTTCCCATCTCCCACAGAAAACTCTGCTCTGAACTGCTTGAAAACAGCTCATTTGTAGTCCAGCCGTTTCCCTGTGACGTCACAGGGATGAAAGCTAAATGCGCCTCATATAATGCTCGCCAATCGGCTAGTCCGACACGTCCTCAAAAACACCGGTGGAAAAACACTGAGCTGCAGCACACAACTTTCCTCTCCCTTCCAAACACTAGCTACCCTCCAGGCAACCTGAAAATGAGCATAATACCACCTCTTTAACATCAGAAAACAGCATCGATCTTTACATCTAACCAGCGTTTGTCACATTTCAGTACCCACAGATTTTCACCCTCATGTTAAAATTGTCTATGATGTGATGATTTTTATAATCCTGTTTTATTTATAAGTGAAATTGACACCATAATGGTTTTATACAAGAACACCATGAAACGCTCTAAAAGGCGGACAAATACATGCACCAGTTTTGTTAGATTTATTGTTTTATTCCAGAAGGGTTGCAGTATCTAAATCACATTTGTGATGCATAAAACTTAAACATAGCTCTGTAATCCATAATTTACACATTTACTGCCAATTTACCTTAAAGAGACTGGTGACACATTACTGCGCCTGCGTGTTTCACTGGTAATGAGACTTTTAGGGATTTGCCCATAGCTAAGCATAACTGTGTTTGTACTGCACAAATCTTATAAGTAATACCATATTTTGTTTCTGCAGTGAGAATATTAAGCTTCATATCACATTGTAATCTAGGATTTTTTATCTCCATAAAGTTTGTGACCTTCATATATTAGCAGATAAAATCATTGAGAAACATAGTTAGCCCTGGCCTTGCTGGTAAAATACCGCAGCAAAATTTCCTGTCCCAAGTTCTTCTTTTCACTCTGATGCAGCATTTTGGCAAAACATGGTTCAGTCCAGCTGTTCAGTCACAGTCTCTGCTGCATTTTGGTATTTAGCCATGTTCATCTTTGTTGTTGAGAAGAAACTGACCTAACATATTGTAGTACCACATATTATAGGCAAGAGAATCAGCTTCACATAGCTAAGAGTGTATACTGCAGAGCTGAAACAGCAGCAGTGACTTCATGTCAGCGGACAGAGTGACTAAACAACAAAAACATCCCAGGACGACTGTGGTTTTATCTGCTGCATTAATTAACAGAATATTGACAACAGAGGAATTTTGTGTTCCCAGTGCAGATGGTGAAGAAGAAAAGGGCTGATCAAGGGCATACTCATATTATTTATAACAATCATTCAGAGGCGCTCGATATAAAGGACACAAAGAGAGAGTGTGCGTACGTGTGTGTGTGTGTGTGTGTGTGTGTGTGTGTGTGTGAATGTGTGTGTGCAAGGTGGGTTAGAGGTTAGTTGTAATTCCACAGAGGTGCTGTTGTCAGCAAACCTGACTCTGCTCTGTTCTGGCTGGGAGGTACGACAGAGTGCTGCAGTCTTTCCACCCACACACACACTACATACATATTATATATAAGCATGCACAAGAGGACATTTTTCATATTGCTAGTAACCTACTTCAAACATACTCACACCCTTTGTCCCTTTAAGCCATTCCTCCCTTCACACACACGCACAAGCATGTGTGCGCGCACACACACACACACGCGCAGTTTGTGACTCGGACTCGAGTCCGACTTAATTAAACAAATAGTGACATCACACTTGACTTGATACTCGTCCTCAAAAGTCTTCAGACTTGACTCGGACTTGAGATGCAGGACTCTTCTGTTTTGATATGAAAAGAGGAATGAGCGTTTGTTTACTTGCCAAACTTCAATTAACGTAATCATTTATGTCCCGCTTACAGCCATCAGTGTTAATTATTAACACTGGCTGCAAACAGGTTACAGGTTTATTGTTGATCATGTAACTTTCTGCATGGATGCTGCTCGTGTGCTTGCTCATCAGTTGCTTTGTATTTGGGATTATAAATTACTGCCACTTCATTAAGTTCACCTCAATAATCCCTCAAACATTTGGCCGTCTAATATTTTTTTGTTTGTTTAGTTGACTCTATAATCTTCCACATTCCTCCTCTCTACCTTCTCAACCCTCCTTTAATTAATC